CTAATTTAATACATTTGAGGTGGGGCCCAGGAGTCTGCATTTCCAACAAGTTACCAAGTGATGTTGCTGCTGCTGGACTTGGGACCACACTTGGAGAACCGTTGGACTAGATAAGAATGTAATTGCTGGGAAAGGCAGACTGAGGAGGCAGTCTTTCAGTCCTCACTGGGTTGCACGAGAATGGGCTTGGGCCTGGGTCACTTCCTTACCAAGAGATAAAGAGCCCATGTAGCCTGTGCTGGCTTACGACTGACCTTCTGTGGGAATATCTTGAGCGCTCTTTTGTCTCTGCTGAAAGTGTGTCATATGGCATCTGGCCAACCCCACTGCTATGTCTGCCCTCTGCAGGGAGGTACAGGGTTCCTTGCACTGTGGCAGAAGATGGATGCACATAAATTGCCCTGTGTTGACCACCTGGAGTGCCCCTTCTTCTCCACCCCAACCCTCCCCTACAGGCCCTGGGGGACCAACGCCTACTATCAAAGCTGTTCTTGCTCTGTCTCTTCCTTAGGTAAGAAGATTGCTCTTCCACCTAGTGCTGAGCTGCATTCTATTTTCCTTGGTGACTCCAAAATCAAGATGCAATGGGCAGATGTGTTTAGATTCCTCTCTGGGATTGTGTTGGGGTCCAGCCCCAGAGCGTCCAGGGGTTCCCAAAGGTGTGGACGGAGTCCGCAAAGAAGGAATGACACGGAGACAGCGTTCAGTTGATCAGCATAGCCAGGGTCTCTCTCTTTTTTGTCCTGTTACATCTGTATTTATACCATTTGATCCTATAAGCATGCCTCTATAATCACATCATGGTATGTTTTGGGTAACCTTCTACAGTTCCCTCGTTTCATTTCCATAGTTTCTTATCTGACCTTTGCCAAAAATCCTGTCTCTATCTAGTTCTGTTGATTTTAATCTTGTCTAGGTTAATCTCGGTGTTCCATTATAAGGGCTATTCCAAGGTCACTATACTGTTCTGTTAAGCTACAAGGAAGTAACTGAAGGAGATTATCCTAAGTAAAGATTATGTAGCTTAACTATGATTGTGCATAGTTAAGGTGATTAACTACCTGCCTGGCACTTAGTTAATTAGTTAAGGAGTTTTACTGATTTATTCCCTTCCTTAGTCCTGTTAATCCCTAACTCCAGGTAAAAATCCCCACCTGGGGAAACAACCTTTCTAGGGGAGGTGGCCCTCATAGCGCTAAGAAGGGGAGCAAACATATTAAGAACAGTATGCCAGGTCCCTTGAAACATATGCTGTGCAGATGTTTCTTCCCTGCAGCGACTGTGTCAAGCAACAAGGATGGACCGGCCTCTGGCAGGATTGGTAACCGGTGCATGGTATCCTGCTTGACAGTAATAGTACATCATGGTTAAGACTCCCGAATTAATATCTCAATCCTACCACTTACTAGCTGGTAGAAGATGGGAAATCACTTATCTTCTTTAGCAGTGGTTCTCAACTAGGGTGGGGAGTGGGGTTAACTCCGCCTTACACACACTTGGGGGCATTGGTCATATCAGGGAACATTTGGTTTTCACAGCTGACAGTTTATCTCAACCTGGCATCTAGTGGGGAGAGGCCAGGGATGCTGCTAAATAACTTACAAGGACCAGGAATTAGCCAGCCTCAAATGTCAATAGTACCAAGGTTGAGGAACACTGCTCAATATAACTATAGTTTTTTCATCTATAAAATGGGGATTATTAGTTATCTGCCTCATAAAATTAGTGTGAAGATGAAATGAAACATGGCATGTAAAGGAATTGGCACTGTACCTAGAGACTGTCAGTTACTGAAGCAAATCCCTTTTGTACATTGTCACCAGCCTATAATTTAAATGCCAAGGATCTTGATAAGAAATGGCAGGGGGGGCAGGAAGGGGGGTTCCTTAAGTGTAGCAATTGGTACTATGGTATCCAGTAGATGGGTTTGGGGTGAGGAGTAGGAACACTTTGCCCCAGATGCAGGCAATAGAGAATGCACTATCTTTAGGTAATATAAAAACCATAGCAAACTGGACTAAAATCAGTCTGTTTTTTCTATCATCAATCACCAGAAATTCTAAACAAGGTTGTAGATCAAATACTCCTCCCACCCCTGAGATGCATCACTTCTATCACTACACCCTTCCCTTTCCACCGGATATAACAGCAGACTAAGAACCAGGCACTTGTCTAAGTGCTTTATGTATTTACTCATCTAGTAATTTTAGTAGCAAACTAAAGTTTGTTGTGAGCAAGGTATTAATGTTATTCCCATTTTATAGATGAGTAAGCTGAGAACCAAAGAAGTTTGATAATGTGCTCACAATCTCTCAGCGAGTAAGTGGTAGAGAGCTGGACCTGAACCCAGGAGTCTTGCTCCAGAGTCTAAGTTCATAGTCACAGAACCAGATAGCCTTCAGCAATATGTCACTGCCATCCCAAATTACCGCTAAGTAAACCTTTTGAAAAACCAGACTTCAGTTCTCCTAATGCATTAGGCATCTTTCTATCAGAAAATAAGCAGCTTCAGTGTTGAGTAAATCTCCCTGTAATACTAACACTGGGAAAATTTCACAGTATGTAAGTTGTTGGGGCCTCATTCTCATAGGCCTATAGGTCAGAACCATGACTCGGTAGACCAGATATTCTTGCAGCCGACACAGAGCAGGAACCTGAGTAAATGTTTGTTGACTGAATTCATTTTTGTTGAGTTCAGATAAATGCTCAGAGGCCTGGTTCCTATTGATGTATTTGCTCGTTTGTGGGCAGAAAGTAACATCTGCTCCCCAGATCCCTGTTTTTGCTTCAAAAGTTTGGGGTGCCTTCTCAGGGGCTGGATTGCCTCAGTGTGAGTAAACATGTGCCCCAGCTTCCTTTGTGCTGAATAATGGCTTCGTAGGGTCTAATTTCACAGATAAAAAGCAGAATCGATCATTCTATTTTAGGATTTGGTACAGAGGTATTGAAGCAGGAATTGGCGAAATGCAACTCAAGGGAGAAATAATTTAGTTTCCCATGGAAATATTCTGCTTCTAAATTTGCTCTTGAAGACAATGCAGGGAAATCAAATGCTTGAATCGGGCAAGTTTGAAACCATTAGATCTAAACCGTCTGAATGACAAATAAGATTACAAAGGGAAGGGTCAAATCTGGGACATTCACTCTTCAAGGAGACTTCAGATGTGCCCTCACACACAGAGCTGTGCAGATGGTAATTAAAGCATTTCCCCACAAGGCGGATAAACCAAGAGAGGTTTGAAAGGGCTTACCTCTCCACCCATGGAGAGGTGGTATCTATTAGACCATGTGTCTAATCTATCAAAGAGGTGAACAGCACCATGCAATTGTATTTTCAGATAGCAGAAATGCCAAAATTTTACTTTAATCATATTTTGGGGGAAATTCTTTAAAATATATTAACCATTTTTTCCACCATCTTAAAAGCAGATAGCATTTTTGTGCTTAAATACTGAATAGTAGCTATAGGACTGTGTATAATAAAATAATACTCTCCAGTGTTACTGACTCATTTTTTCCGGCACTTAACACTAAAGGCTCAGCCTGCTCTTCTTTGTGTCCATCGATCTTGGCTGTTTCTTCCAGTCACTTCCGCCTAATACCTATGGGTTTGTTTCTGGTGATCATGCCTTTTATTCTATTCTATTCCTCTTGCCTGTTCTGTCCTGTTGCAGTCTGGGACTCCAGATAACTAAGCTTGTTAGAACTGTCTTGAACACAAGAGCAGTGGGTTTTAAATGAAACAGTGAAGGGTTCTCCTATGAGTAAGGAGAAGAATAACATAGTCATTTTTTATTTAATTTTTTCTTTTTTATTTAATTTATTGGGGTGACATTGGTTAATAAAATTATATAGCTTTCAGCTGTACAATTCTATAATACATCATCTTACATGTATTGTGTGTTTGCCACCCCAAGTCAAGTCTTCTTCCATCACCATTTATCCCCCCTTTACCCTCTTCTACCTCCCTCACTCCTCTTTCTCTGTGTTAATTACCATGCTGTTGTCTGTCTATGACAGCGGTTCTCAACTGTGGGTCGCGACCCCTTTGAGGGTTGAACGACCCTTTCACAGGGGTGGCCTAAGACCATTGGAAAACACATATATAATTACATATTGTTTTTGTGATTAATCACTATGCTTTAATTATGTTCAATCTGTAACAATGAAATTGGGGTTCACCACAACATGAGGAACTGTATTAAAGGGTCGAGGCATTAGGAAGGTTGAGAACCACTGGTCTATGAAGTATTTGTTTGTTTTTTTGTTTTGTTTTTTAACTAAGATGTCTTTATTTTTTTGTGCGATTAATCACTATGCTTTAATTATGTTCAATTTGTAACAAGGAAATTGGGGGTCACCACAACATGAGGAACTGTATTAAAGGGTCGCAGCATTAGGAAGGTTGAGACCACTGGTCTAAGGTTTATTTCTACCTCAATTGCTGGCCCCTACCCAGCCTGGCCCTGGTCCGGGCTTGGGCAGGAGGCAAACAACTGATGTGTTTCTCTCACATGGATTATTTGTCTTTCCCTCTCTCCCCCACTCTCTCTAAACATCAATGGGAAAATATCCTCGGGTGAGGATTAAAAAAACAAAAGTGGGTAACCTGGTCAGAAGGTCAAATCTTCAAAGTGGATGCAAGCTGCTCCTCTCAGGGGGTCCGGACTGAATGTTCGAGAGCATCTCCAGGAAGGCCTGCGGGGATGGTGCCTCCACATTCTGGAAGGTGTTCTGGACTCTGCCTAACAGGATGAAGTATTTCATCTCCAGCCAGATGAACCCGAAGTGGTTCTCATCGAACAGGATGAAGACTCCAGGG